ATCTGAGCTCCATCATCTCCAGCGATGGCACTATCCGGCCAAAGTTAAAAAGGAGGATCGTCCTAGCCTTGAAAACCTGTTCAATATTTGGGTTGGGAAAGGAGCATTTCTTTCACATCAAATTTCTGAAAATTCGGTTACCAATATTAAAGCAAATTATTCACCTCCTATTAAACCGTTTAATCAACTAATGATCGTCTTCAATGGAATCTCAACGATGCTAAAGAGGTACTCTTTTTGGAATATGGATTAGGATTATGGATTATTAACTTCCTTCATAATCCTTATCAAAATCCTCTGCATCGACATCACGTTCATAGCCAAATGTTGGAAACCGATGCGTCGAAACCTATTTGATACCTTTTCTGTGTCCATTCATTAGTCATGAACATTTTTTAAGATACTGGTAGATGCCGTGTGTAATATCACAGTTGGAATTCATTTTAAAATTCTCTTCCCATTAATGTCATTGACAAAACGCATGACTCCAAGATCAGATTTCACTGTATACTGCATCGCCTGTTTGCTCCTAGTTGTCCATTGGACCATTTAAGTAGGTCATGACTCCATGATATTTGAACATCAGCCGTCTGGCATGCACATCACATAATTCCGTTCTATAGAGCCACCTCGTGCTATTCAGAACGATGTTTCAGCAGCTACTGTTCCTCATACGCCACCGAATACATATTCATAAGCTGATCATAAGCCAAAGTATGCCAAATAACGAATAGCTTCTTTAAAACCGAAACATACTTTACGGTACCTTGTTAAAGATAAGAAGAAATCGCGGTAACAACAGACATGATACATGGCTAGGAAATAGCATAAGTTTATCATAGTTCGCCTGTTTGATTGATGTAGGGAACATCTTTTGAAGCCTGATCGACGTGTGACCGAAATTATTGAACTTCGCCGTCAGTTCGGCTCGGTTCGGGCCAAGTCATTATAACTATTATGTTTTTTCACCGGAAAGAAATTTTTTCTGACCTCAGTGACTCATGGGAACGAGGAAGCCTTGTTATGAAGTTCACAGCTCTAACATTGTTCAACAC